CCCGTCCCAGCTTCCTGAGTGCTGGGATTTCAGGTATACATCACCTAGTCAAATTCTAACTTTAGCTGCTTACATTATACTTTTTAACCCATCACTCTTTTTGCTTTATTTATTTATTTATTTATTTATTGATTGATTGATCTGCTTTTTTGGATCTTTAAAGAGTGGCCTCAGGCTGCAGGGAAGGCAGAGGTCATGGGCAAGAGCTCTCAAAGAGATAAGGCTGTTGAGAGTGAAGAAGTCCACTTTTCCTCGTTGAGACCCATGGGCTCTGAGCCGCTGAGGTGGCCAATGGCCTGGCATCTCCCCGCTCAGCATGGGTTCAGTGTGTGAGTTCCAAGCCTGCAGCTTTGTGTGAGTGGGTGTGCACGCACCTGTATCCGTTCAGCCAGGATCTGAACGAGGAGATCCTCTGGGAGCACACAGCTCATCAGCCCGGTCTCACCTCCGATACTGGCGCTGACACTGAGCCGCCGCTGAGTGGGCCCCATGAGGAGAGGGCTAGAGGGAATCTGATGAGTGAGAGAAGAGCCGGAAGTCAGACTCTAGCTTTGCCTCAACAGCTGTATCAACAAGCCATGTAGCATCTAGAAAAATCATACAACTCCTGTAGGCTCCTTATTTATAAATGAGGACTGTGTTGTAAAATGCAGGATTCCTGTGTTCTCTCAAGAATGGCTGGTAGCTTCAAGTAGGATTATTGTGGGAGGTGTTTTTGCATGTTCTGACCTGTGTTTGAGTGTCCATTCACTCAACAGATATTTCCTGAGCTCCCATCATGCACCAGTCCCTCCTCGTAGACTAGGGATCCAACAAGAAGCAGGACTAACAATGGTGCTTGCTGCCTACATGGCTCTTAACATTCTCATGGGAGACGTGGAGCACTTCCCACAGGAATCAGTAATATTGCTGGCTGTGAGGAGCGTGGTGGGGAAGTGACCGGACAAGGAATGAAGAGCAGTGATGGCGGTAGAGAACGGCCATGGCGAGATCATATCACCTGGGCAACATGACCGAATGAGGTAACACCAAGAGAAAGGTCTTTCTGTGAGGAAGCTGCAAGCTACCTCAGTGTGTATGAGATGATTTGGGAGCACACAGGAGCTCAGTGTGTGTGGAATCCGGTAAGCAATGTAGTAAGTGGTAAGTGGAATGGAGGTGGGGGATAGATGTCTCAATGGAATAGGTGAAGGAGATTGGGGGCAGCCAGGACAGAGAAAGCAGTTGGCACAGCCATCCTTTGGAGGAATTACAGTGAAGAGGATCTGAAGGATGAGTTAAGAGCTGGAGAGGGATGCAAGGTCATATTTAAAAAAAAAAAAAAGGACACATTGCAAAGTAGGAAAAACAGGAGCAAGGACCATGGTAGGAATTTAGCCCCTGGATTGATTGAATAAGAGGAAAAGGGGTGGGGTCCAGTGCACAGGTAGAGGCTTCAGCCCGGAATGCAGCAGGGGCAGGTACTCAGCTACGGAAGCCTGCTGGGAGATGTGGTGGTGAGGATGAGGTCATTGTCTTCTGAGCTCAGCAGAGAGATTGTCAGCTGAGGATGAAGAAGAGTGTCTTAGAGTTCAAGAGAGTGAAGAGAGCCATAGCATGGTCATTTTGAATGGAGGGCAAATGTCTATGGCAGACATTGGGATGTGTGGTGTTAAACCTATTGAGGAGAGACAAGTAATTTTTCTAGCTATGATCAGTTTGGTCTGGATGGAATTGAGTCCACTTGGGCTGGAGACTGACTGTCTGGAGAATATAATGAAGGAGAAGGTACAAGGGAGTGTGGACCAGGGGATCCAGTGGGAAGGAAAAGGACAGTGAGGTGGGCAGAGAGGATGAGGACCGGAGGTTTCTATGGGACCAGTTACTTGAAGACGGTGGTTGCTGTGTCGGGTGTGGGATACACTTTATGGGTTGCAGCATGGTTAGCGTGTAGGGTGTGTGAAGTTTATGGGGGATGATGACCAAGGTCTAGGACACAGTCATGGTAGTGGAGGCCACGGACTTGAGAAGTAAGAGTGTTAGACTAAATATTAGCCAAAAGATAGTATTTCTAACTAGTAAGTTAAAAATCTAACGAGTGGAAGTATTTTATAAATAAAAGATGTCATGTTTCAGCCCTATCTTCATTAAATGCCACACTGCACATTTCTTCCCATTTGCAACACAGTCAGTCTGTCCTAGATGTCGGAGGACTCATGCTTTGTGAGAGCTTTAAGAAGACCAAGCACCCACTTCTTCGGGGTGAAGCCCCGGCAGAGGACTCTGCTGTCCAAACCCTTTGAGTCTCGGCACACTGAACAGTACATGTCTGTGTGTGTGGTGCACGAACTCTCAGTTTTCTTCTGACTTTCAGGGTTACTGTTTATTGAAAGAGGGTCAGAGTTAGAAATGGGATTTTCTGCTGCCCCTCCCTGGAACATTCTAAAAATCTTTACTTCTAGATGGATAGGAACAAAGTAAATAAAACTTACCATAACACCCTGTTTATCGCAAATACACACATCTGTGTAAAGAATGTCACATTAACTCACAGGGAAGAGAGTTAGAAGGTTGGTGCTCCCAAAGGAAATGAGCCAGTGCTTCCAATTTACAAGATTTTATGAATATAAAACAGACTGAGAGGGGAAGTGAAGATAAAAGATCTTATCTGGTACCAATTCAGCCAGAGATGCTCCATTCCACCTGTAAGTTTATTATCCCAGAGACTTTGCTCCATGCACCTGTCCCATCTACACTTGGGTCTATTCCTGTCAGGACCTAAACCTTTATTTGATCCGCATTCCCAATCTACTACTCAGCCTTCTCTTCTTATGAAGGTCTACAAGCCTGTTCATTCCATCTGCCCATCCAATGCATGGCCTCCTCTCTACAAGGACCTTCAGCTATCTCCATCCACCTCAGCCACTCACTAAGAAACACCCACTGCCTGGACAGCATGACTCCTGGATGCAAGCAAGACTTGAAGACCCTCAATTCTTTCTGTCTCCCCCACTCCATGTTCTCTTAACTCCTTCTCGACTTTGGCTGGGCACTTCTTAGTGATCCCATCTCAACTACCTTGCACCTAGTTCTGAACACATCCCACCCTCTCCAATAACAACAACTTGTTTCTCTGTCTCAGAATGAGGACTGTTAGGGGCCACTTGGAGAAATCTTAAAACTATGAACTTACTGTTTTTAGTTTTAGTTGGGCCACCAGCATTGTCAACTATCTTTTCTTTATGCATCACTAGTTTCTGGTTCCATCTATGACAGTGGAGATATGTATGTTCTGGCATCCCTCTTTAGCCACCCTAAACTACAACCCTAAACTCCTTACTGCTTCCTATAAAAGATCACACTTCCTGGACACATATCAGAGCCATCAAATAAGATTTTCCCCAGCCTCCATCCTCCATTTCAATTCTCCTATCCTTAGCTGTATCTATTTCTTTTCTTTTTTAGATCTTTATGGATCCCAGAGGAAGCCAGTGCCATTATCTTTTAACTGTGCTAAATCCTGCCCCTCTTCCCTTCTCCTGGAATCTCATTTCTTCTTGGGTGGACCTTATCTTTCTCCAAGAGGGCCTCCTCCTTTTCCTTCCATCCAACTGCTCTTTCTTCCCGCCTTTTAAAGAGACAGCACAACGGTTTATCCAGAGTCAAACAGGAGTGCTTGCTGATGGCTCGGGAACACAGAAACTGCCGTGAGTGACAAGTGGCCCAGCACTGCTGCCAGGCTAGACCTGCCTCCTGCTCTGCCTTCATTGCTCTCCCCGCAGCCACTCACTCTTGACCCCGGGCCTGCTCTCGGACAACTCCTTTTGCCCCTTGTGCTGGCACAGCCTGGAGGCTCACGTTTACTTGACTTCCTTCATCTACCCACAACTCATTCTTTTGCCAAGATTGCTCTTTACATCCCTCGGCATGTGGCTCATACCATGTGACTTACCATGACCTTCCCTATAGCCCTGAACCACTTATCTTGGTGGTCCAATCCTTTATATAATATATATATATATATATATATATGTTATAAAATATATATATTTTACTGGTTTGAGCCATAGGAAATTACTATTATGGGATCCTAAAAATGGTTGATTGAATATTGGCCTTTTTCTTTTTTTTTTTAATATTGGCCATTTTCTATGGCTCAACTTAATTTCTTTTGTCACCACTTTATTTCAGATAATTTGTAAGTGTGATTGTCTTCCTCATACGACTCTCCATCAATGCAGCCAATGCAGCTTTCTTACCTTTACCCCTCTGGCATCCAGCTGGGTACCCACAACAGGAAAGTACTTGCTGGGTACCAGATGGCTGCACACTAATTTCTGAAGGAGTGGCACAGGGATAGCAGTCCCCTGCTAAGGACAGCCACAGCCACAGAGGGTGCTGGCCTAGTTGTAGGATGCCAAGGATGAGGAGGAGGGGGGAGGAGGAGGAGGAGGAGGAGGAGGAGGAGGAGGAGACCCCGACCCTCTTCCCAGGGATCCCTGCGTACCTGTGGTGTTTCGGCTTGGTGCGGATGATGCTGCTTCTGAGACCCAGACCAGTGGCTATCTGCTTTGCCTTTGGGAACCATCATGCTCCCTCGAACACTCTTTGGAGGTTTAAATTCCTGGGACCCGAGAGTGTGTTCCGAGGTAAACTTGCCCAGGTTCTCAGTGCTTAGTCGTACTGGTGCTGAAATATTTTGGAGCATTGAAGACTCCTGAGCTATTAGGAGAAGGTGGATTTTTAGTAAAAGTCATCTTACAACATGAAGGAAATCACAGTGGGGATGGTACACCGAAGCCTGTGTTACTCTCTTATGGAATGCTGAACGATCTTCTCATACAGCTGACTGACCTGGGTTCGAGGAAGAGGCTCCACTCATCAAGCACTGAATGACGGCTCACTTGGAGTCTGGGCTCTTTTCTGCCTGCATTAATCACCTTTTTATTGTTGTGATAGAATACTGTGACCAAAGGCAACTTACAGACAAAAGTATTCATTTTGGCTTATGCTGTGGGATGGTCTGTATGTTAAATTGCTCTGATTGGTCAATAAACAAAACACTGATTGGCCAGTGGCCAGGCAGGAAGTATAGGCGGGACTAACAGAGAGGAGAATTGAGAGAACAGGAAGGCGGAGGGAGACACTGCCAGCTGCGCTGTGACAAGCAGCATGTGAAGACGCCAGTAAGCCATGAGCCACGTGGCAAGGTATAGATTTATAGAAATGAATTAATTTAAGATGTAAGAACTAGATAACAAGAAGCCTCAGCCATTAGGGCAAACAGTTTAAATAATATAAGCATCTGTGTGTTTATTTTATAAGTGGGCTGTCGGATTGCTGGGGCTTGGTAGGACCTGGAGAGAAGCTCTCCAGCCACAGGCTTATGGTTCAGAGAGGTAAGAATCCCTTATGGAAGGGGGGCATGGCAGCAAGCGTCAGGAACAAGAGCCGGGAGATCACATCTTACTCAGGAAGCTGAGGGAGTGAACTGAAAGGGGGAACAAGGCTATAAACCCTCACAGCCTGCCCTTCATGATGTGCTTCTGTTGTGCAATGGAACAGCAGCTGAAAGCTCATGCCTCTCAAAAGTAGACTGGCATTTAATAGAGGGATGTGGAGAAGAAGGGGATGCTGAGATGAAGCCATATATACACAGCCAAGAAGAATGGACAGCTGAATTAAAAAACTGTCAACAATTTCCAGA